CGGTGAATTCTCCAACACTGGAAGTTTTTAAGAAGAGACTGGACAGCCATTTGTCTGAAATGGTGTAGGGCTTCCTGCCTGAGCAGGGGGTTGGACTAGATGACCTCCAAGGTCCCTTCCAACTTTATTATTATTATTATTATTATTATTATTATTATTATTATTATTATTATTATTATTATTATTATTATTATTATTACATACCCATTTTCTGGATCCTGTCTCCTTCGTGTCAGCCAGGCCCCCAAGAAAGCAAGAATGGGGGGGGGGGAAATAAAAGGGCAGAAAATGTCTCTTCCCCAGTTCTGCTGCTTCCTTTTAAAGGCAGGCAAGAATGAGAGAATAGAGCAAATATTGACCACCGCTGGCTGGCTGCCTGGCTGGCTCCAAAGCAAACAGCTGGATGCAATTCCCAATGACAAGATTACGGACAGCTTGCAGCCTGGCAGGCTTCTGTTGGGAGAGGGAAATTTTTATCACCCCTGAAACGAGCTTGCCAGAATCAAAGGCTTGTGGGGGACTTCCTTCCCCTCTTTGCGTGCTGGAGGGAATCCCTGTGAAGCTGCCAGCCCAGCCACTTTTTCAGAGGCAAACATCTGGCAACATCAGGGCCGGCTGTTCAGGGCTTTGATGAGTTCCTATGGCTACCACCAAAATTAACATTAGATTAATAATTGAATGGGGATAGGGATAGGGAGTATGATGGGATGGGATGGAATAGAATAGAATAGAATAATGAATAGGATAGGATAGGATAGGATAGGATAGGATAGGATAATGAATAGGATAGGATAAAATAATGAATAGGATAGGATAAAATAATGAATAGGATAGGATAGGATAGGATAGGATAGGAATAGAAGAGTTGGAAGGGGCGTTGGAGGTCTTCTAGTCCAACCCCCTGCTCAGACAGGAAACCCTATACCATTTCAGACAAATGGTAAAACTTCCAGTGTTGGAGCATTCACAGCTTCTGGAGGCAAGGAGTTCCGCTGGTTAATTGTTCTCACTGTCAGGAAGTTTCTCCTTAGTTCTAGGTTGCTTCTCTCCTTGATTAGTTTCCATCCGTTGCTTCTTGTCCTGCGTTCAGGCGCTTTGGAGAATAGCTTGACTGCCTCTTCTTTATGGCAGCCCCTGAGATACTGGAAGACTGCTATCATGTCCCCCCCTCGTCCTTCTCTTCGTTAAACTAAACATCCCCAATTCCAGCAACCGTCCCTCGTGTGTTTTAACAATCAAGAAGAAAATAATATCCCAAACAAGCTAGCAGTAAACAGCCCAATGGAGGGGCCACCGAGACCACTCCCACCAACATTGCTGGGGCAAGCCACTGTATATAAGCAGAAAGTAGACCCACTCCCTTCTAGCACTGATGATGTTACCTAGTTGGGTAATGAAATGTCTGCAAGAAAACCACCCAGCTCAGAGAACATAAAGGACCCCACAGCCTTCCTCCTCCTCCTCCTCCTCCTCCTCCTCCTCCTCCTCTCCTCCGCAAACCCCACTCCCTTCTAGCACTGATGATGTTACCTAGTTGGGTCATGAAACGTCTGCAAGAAAACCACCCAGCTCAGAGAATTCCATACTTCAACCCTGAGCAGCAAATATTCTCTCCTCTGTTAGTTCCTCTCTCTCCACCAGCCAAAAAGAGCACAGCACACCCACACTTTTAGCAACGGCAAACATCCCCGGCCCCAAAGCTCTATGGCTAGTCCTCAGTTTATGGCCCTGAGTTCTCAAGCTCTTGCGGTCGTTAAGTCGAGGCATCAAGTCACCGGACCTGATTTTTCCATTTTATTTTATTTTATTTTGCAACGGTGATTGAGTGTGAACGCCACAAGCCAGTCCCTTCCCCACTCTCATGGGTATTTTTGCCAGAAGTAAACAGACCCCCCCCCAAAAGTGTCCTAAATTGCAGTCACATGACTGTGGGACCCTGCAAACAGGGGAACCCATTGCCCACTGCCCAAAATGTGGTCCTGGGGTGGGTGTGGGTGTGGGTGTGTGGCCGCTGTAACTTCAAAAATGGATCGTGAGCAGCTTTTGAGGAGTGCAGGTCCGTCATAAACTTGTTCGTTAAACGGCCGGTCGTAAATCGAGGCTTACCTCTGTCGCTATGGAAGACGGTTTGCCATAAACCTCCCTCCGTTTCAACCATTGACCCCACCCCGGGGTTCCCACCCCACTAGAAGCCCAGCACCCATTTTCACCCTGGATTTATCCAGGTTCAAAACTCTTCAGCAGTCTTTCTCAAACGTGACAACTTTAAAGGTGGGTGGACTTCAACTCCCAGAATTCCTCAGCCAGTTACGACTCGGGAGGCCAGACCTCTTCCTGGCTGGGGAATTCTGGGAGTTGACAGGCTNTCTTGAGGGAGGCTGCTCACCTGTAGTGAAGCCGTTGTCCATCCGAGCTGTAGTCTCGGTAGAGCTCGTATTCCTTCTCAAAAACTCCGGGCGGTGAGGAGCTGTGCAGAAGAGACAGGAAAAGCAAAGGATTAAAGCAAGAACGAAGGGATTGCACGCGTGCAACCTGGACACTGCTCAACTGTTGCAACAATTCAACACTTTCCTCAATTTTGGCTAAGGTTTTGCAGCAAGGGGAAGCCAACCCACTGCAACCAAGCAGACAGACACCGATTTCCACGGATAGTTAGAACTACAGAAAAAAAACACTGCCCCCAGCCTGCCTTCCACTGAGGACTTGTACACTGCAGGAGCCAGAAAAGAGGGCTGAGAAAATATCTACAGACCCCTCTCCTGGACACAAACTGTTCCAACTTCTTCCCACAAGACGACGCTGTAAAGGCGTTGCATGCCCACACAATTAAACACAAATATAGTTTTTCCCACGTGCCATCGCTTTGTTAAATACATAATTCCCACAATATTGGCAAACGACCTGTATTACTAGAATAGAATAGAATAGAATAGAATAGAATAGAATAGAATAGAATAGAATAGAATAGAATAGAATAGAATAGAAAATATCGAGTGGAGTGGAAATAATATGATATAATATATGATATGATATAATAGAAATAGAATAGAATAGAATAGAATAGAATAGAATAGAATAGAATAGAATAGAATAGAATAGAATAGAATAGAACAGAACAGAACAGAACAGAACAGAACAGAAAATATCGAGTGGAGTGGAAATAATATAATATAATATGATATATGATATATGATATATGATATGATAGAATAGAATAGAATAGAATAGAACAGAACAGAACAGAACAGAACAGAACAGAACAGAACAGAATAGTTGGAAGGGACCTTGGAGGTCACCTAGTCCAACCCCCTGCTCAGGCAGGAAACCCTACACCATTTCGGACAAATGGCTGTCCAGTCTCTTCTTAAAAACTTCCAGTGTTGGCACATTCACCGCTTCTGGAGGCAGGTAGTTCCACTGGTTAATTGTTCTAACTGTCAGGAAGTTTCTCTTTAATTCCAGGTTGCTTCTCTCCTTGATGAGTTTCCATCCGTTGCTTCTTGTCCTGCCTTCAGATGCTGAGTTGAGTTACACAAACTCAGAAGACCCACTAAATTATTCCCAAACAATTTTTTTTTTTAAAAAAAACCAAACCATTCAGATCCAGAAGTCTTTGGAAACCACCAACACCTTCTGCTTCGGTAAGTTATTGTCCTGTCTAAAAAACGGAAGACCTCTAAAGTGGAAACTGAAAGTTGAAGGGCTTCAATACGAAGAACAATGTTGTTAGACCTGACCAGGACAGACTGAACGAGAAGAAGGCTTCAGGTCAAAATGAAAGTTCTCAAGAACATCCAGTGCAATTGAACCCTCTTTTGTATGAAAACCCGTGCTGCGTTTTACCTTCCCAGTATCATTTAATAAAAAGAAGAAGCTATTTTTGTGTAATCACAACATTCCAACTCCTCGGATAATGGGGGTCTCCTGCCTTTGAAAAAGCAGAGACTCTCGGTGAAGTTCCTGCAACGAGGTTTCAAAACGGACGTCCGGCTGGAAATCACGTTTCTTGACCTTCTCACTGCGCTCTTCTTTCGAGGCGGTCGCCCGTCAGAAAATTCTGCTTCTTCCTGCCAAGTTCCCTCCCCCCCCACCCCCCCAAATTTTCTCTGCTGCCATGAATAACTACGAATAGAAAAAACACTCTTCCCTTGTCGTGTGTTTGATGAAGTGGATCGAACTCCATAAAAGCTGATGCAATCGTTTTATTTTATTTTATTTTTTTATTTTATTTTCTTGAAGTGAAACCCTCAAGAAGGCAACAAGGGTAATTTTATCTCCTGTAGAATTTAAAGCAAGGTTCTACATGTAGGCAAGAAAAACCAAATGCACAGGTATGGTATAGGGGGTACCTTGCTCAACAGTAGTAACTGTGAGAGGGACCTCGGAGTCCTATTGACAATCACCTAAATATGAGCCAGCCATGTACTGCAGCTGCCAAAAAGGCCAACACAGTGCTAGGCTGAATTAACAGAGGCATAGAATCAAGATCACATGAAGTGTTAATACCACTTTACAAGGCCTTGGTAAGGCCACACCTGGAATACTGCATCCAGTTTTGGTCACCGCGATGTAAAAAAGATGTTGAGATTCTAGCTAGAGTACAGAGAAGAGCAACAAAGATGATCAGGGGACTGGAGGCTAAAACATATAAGGAACGGTTGCTGGAATTGGGCATGTCTAGTTTAATGAATAGAAGGACGAGTGGGGACAGGATAGCAGCCTTCCAGTATCTCAGGGGCTGCCCCAAAGAAGAGGGAGTCAAGCTGTTCTCCAAAGCGCCTGAAGGCAGGACGAGAAGCAAAATAGATGGAAACTAACCAAGGAGAGAAGCAACCTAGAACTAAGGAGAAACTTCCTGACAGTGAGAACAATTAACCAGTGGAACAACCTGCCTCCAGAAGCGGTGAGTGCTCCAACACTGGAAGTTTTTAAGAAGAGACTGGACAGCCATTTGTCTGAAATGGTATAGGGTTACCTGCCTGAGCAGGGGGTTGGATTAGATGACCTCCAAGGTCCCTTCCAACTTTATTATTATTATTATTATTATTATTATTATTATTATTATTATTATTATTATTATTATTATTATTATTATTATGGATCATCGCACAGTCAGCCAGATGTTCGGACTGGATTTGGCATTTTGTCTACCTATCGAGTCCTTACCCAATAATAATAATAATAATAATAATAATAATAATAATAATAATAATAATAATAAT